AAAACTTTTCTATAGAAGCTTTATAGAAACTTATTACATAACAAATATATTTAGGTTTCGACATTTCTATCAAAATTAATTAATAAAATTAACTCTGCACCAATTAATATTTTATTTTTTAGTAATTATTATAATAAATAGAGTTTAGCAGTATGAAATCTTTATATGTATTGCATGTCTGTAATAGCAAACCATTCAATCTTTTTTGATTTGCTATGATTGCAAACCATTTTCCAACACTTATAATAAACCTTATATTTGTAAAGAATTAATTCCAATTCTGATGCTCATAATATGAAATATCAATTACGAAATCTAAAGAAAATATTACATTGCTAAAGAAATTCTTTCAACTTGACATAAACCATTCGTTATAAAACTAAGTAACTTTGATAACCAACTTGTACGCCTACGATGAATAGTTTTAGAAATAATTTAATTTATAGAAAAAATATCGCTACCGCAACCTGTTTTATAACTAATCATAATTTCCACAAAAAATGACTTACGAGTGTTGAAAATTTTTACCAGTTATAGTCGTGTCCTATGGCTAATGTTAAACCAAAATTGAGCTTTATAATTTATACTGGGTGTTCAGCAAAAACAATGCAAAGTTTAAAAACTTTAAACACGAATAACTTCGTTTTTCCAAATGACACTTACCATATTTTATTGTTCCATTCGATTCCTCTTTTTATCCTCTTTCGATCCATGTGGATGTTTTATATTGCTTCATTTGAAAATTTTTGAATAAATTTGGATTTTTATCTTAATTAGATAATTTTATTAACTTTGGCGTAACATAAATGTGCCGTGGGACAATTGATAGCTACTTTAAATCAGAACTTATCTTTCGTTTTTCTATGTTTCCATTTCAAATAATAAAGTTGGCATCAACTTCCGGTATAACTAGTGTCCGACCGGAACTGGTTTTTACGACCGAAACCGAAACCGAATTTCGGCAACGGTCTCAATTTCGGCCGAAACCGAAACCGAAACCGAAACTTCCTTCTAAGGATCATGTTTTGAGAGAAAAATAAAGAAAACGTCATTATAATCAGTCAGTTTTATTTTTTTATCTTTAAATCACATAGCTCTGCAGTCTTTGACGTTTTCACTTATTGATAATCAAATCAAAATCAACATAACAACCCCTCGTTTAAGGAAATACTTTAATTGCGCCTTAAAAATACTTAAAATAGGTGAGATGTTTATTTGAGTAAGTATAGTAGANGTCAGTTTATTTTTTTTATCTTTAAATCACATAGCTCTGCAGTCTTTGACATTTTCACTTATTGATAATCAAATCAAAATCAACATAACAACCCCTCGTTTAAGGAAATACTTTAATTGCGCCTTAAAAATACTTAAAATAGGTGAGATGTTTATTTGAGTAAGTATAGTAGACTAGACTCATTTTTCTTTTGAAGATTATTCATACTTTTTTTTATATATTAAACATAAAATTACTTTTGTTATTGTTACCTAATATCACAATAAGTATAGGAATATAATATTTAAGTGATAAACAAAACAAAATAAATCGCTTTTATCAACACGAACCAGTCACATCATGATTATGCACCTAGACGCGCCGAACATGACCGAGCAGAGCACGAGAACTCCCCAACGCAGTTTCGGTTTCGCTCGTAACCGAAACTCGTTTTTTTGCCGAAACTCGACCGAAACCGAAACCGAACTTTCGATCGGACACTAGGTATAACCGAAAGCGGCCGACAGTTGAAATTATTTTAGTTAAAAAGATCATCCTTGATAAACTCAAGGTACTGCCAAATTTTCAGATCTCTTACACACTCAGTTTCCCTAAAATGTCTAATATACCATTCACTTTGAAGAACCCTGTATATACCTACTTATAATGAAATAATTAGCAAAATAGCCTGCAAAAAAAGGTATTATAAATCCGGGAATTAATAATTATAATAGCAACTAACGGGGCACATGCTATTAAATGCAAATTGGGTAATAATTATACGTGATGACGTGAGAATGCATAATTATATTAATGTTATTCTGTGATACAATAAAAAATGAACAACAGTGTTTTATGATACCGATCTAAACAATTAATTTAAATACGAGGGTGGATTGATAAGTTTCCGGCCTAACCAAGAGATGACGCCACTAGGCCTACCTTGAGGTGACATTCTATAGTACCATCCTTGGATAGCTTGTAGCTATAGTTTCAGCCCGATCTCCTTGCTAGTGTAGGTTTGACAGCACGNTTTAGAATGTATTTTTTTTTGTTTGTTCGTAAATTTAATTTAATTTTCTATAATATAATAAAAAAAACATATACCGAACAATTTTTTATTTCAGTGTTCTATTATATTATTATTTCTTAAAATTGGATCAATATTCAATTTTAATATTGGGTTGATATTAAAAATCTACATTGGGCCAATAAAAAAAAATCTGACGTTTCCATCATTGAACCAATATGTAAATATAATATTTTACCAATATTTTTGTGGTACTGGGGTAGATATTGTGCCTACATATGCATGATATATTGTGACTATATATAAAACATATATTGGACCAATCTGGAAAACAAATATTGGCTGTATTTTTCAAATAAATATTGCACATTTATTATTTCCTAACATTGGAACAATATTTAATTTCAATATTGGGTTAATATTAAAAATCTACATTGGGCCAATAAAAAAAAATCTGACGTTTCCATCATTGAACCAATATGTAAATATAATATTTTACCAATATTGTTGTGCTACTGGGGACTATAGTAGACTAGACTCATTTTTCTGTTGAAGATTCATGCTTTTTTTTATATATTAAACATAAAATTACTTTTGTTATTGTTACCTAATATCACAATAAGTATAGGAATATAATATTTAAGTGATAAACAAAACAAAATAAATCGCTTTTATCAACACGAACCAGTCACATCATGATTATGCACCTAGACGCGCCGAACATGACCGAGCAGAGCACGAGAACTCCCCAACGCAGTTTCGGTTTCGCTCGTAACCGAAACTCGTTTTTTTGCCGAAACTCGACCGAAACCGAAACCGAACTTTCGATCGGACACTAGGTATAACCGAAAGCGGCCGACAGTTGAAATTATTTTAGTTAAAAAGATCATCCTTGATAAACTCAAGGTACTGCCAAATTTTCAGATCTCTTACACACTCAGTTTCCCTAAAATGTCTAATATACCATTCACTTTGAAGAACCCTGTATATACCTACTTATAATGAAATAATTAGCAAAATAGCCTGCAAAAAAAGGTATTATAAATCCGGGAATTAATAATTATAATAGCAACTAACGGGGCACATGCTATTAAATGCAAATTGGGTAATAATTATACGTGATGACGTGAGAATGCATAATTATATTAATGTTATTCTGTGATACAATAAAAAATGAACAACAGTGTTTTATGATACCGATCTAAACAATTAATTTAAATAAACAGGTAATTAAAATATTCGTTATATGTTGTTATGGGCACATACGTTACAATAAATTTTACGGCCATTAATTTAAAATAATTTTAACACCTAATAAAATTATTCTTTTATAATGCATAAAAGATTTATTAAAGTTTTAAAATAGTCGTATTCTACGTAAGTATCTACTTAATTCACAGGAAAATGGTATATAATACGTATTACAAGATATATATGTATTGTTGTAAAACTAAAAGATTACATTTATATTTTTTTGCGTAATTACACCATCAAAATTAAGAAGCCAAATAGTGTACCATATACAGTGTAAACTCTATATAACGACACTTAAGGGACTGAACATTTTTCGGCGTTAAATGGAGAGAAATAAAAGATATTATTTTACTATTCTATAATAATATGCATTTACCAATATAGTACACATTTTGATTATTCATACATTGCGTATAGCCTGTTATCTTCGTCTGATGTTTTTTGCTGCTCCAATATTTTAATTGTATTTTGTTACGTATCTTACTCATATCTTGAGATACTGCTGGATCAATTTGATTATATAAAAAGTATTTTTTTAATAGTTTCGCTGCATCAAGTGCTTGTTTGATGCTTGGTGGAGGGACAGGATCGTCTTCTTCAACAACGTACACAGCTGCAGTTCTTATCTATTTCGGCAACTTAGAAAGTACTGCTCAATGATTTATAATGCCGCATTGTTGTCGTTAAAAAGAGTGAGCGTAACGCTATATAGAGTGTAATATTGTATAGAAAATAATGTAAACCAACCAAAGTCAAGCAATTTCGACGTTTTAAGGAGTTTGTTGTTAAATCGTGTGACGTTATAAAGAGTTTACACTGTATGTCGCACCCACTCGGCGTATTTGTCCATTTCGTGAGTTGGACGTCCAGTTCGTGAAGTGAACTGGATACAAAAGTATTAGTTTAGTTTCAAACCATTAGTGACAGATAGACATTTGCATGAATGATCTTATACAGAGGTTCGAGTTATTCTTTAGAGCTAATGTTTCTAATATGGGCCTATATCGACCCCTACAGGTCGATTCGAAATTACAAGAAGTCCATGACAGCGAAAACAAAAATAGGGGGTGCATGAAATTAAGGTCATGACAACGAATCCCATTTAAGCAGGTTGTAACCGAAGTTTTAGCTATTCTATAAATGAAATAATTCACGTAGCACAGATATCTGCGCATCTACATAATATTAACTTGTAATACGACATAATGTATAAAGTAAAAATTCTTAAAACATAAGTTTTAATGAAACTTGATGATTTGGAGTGTTAAAGGTGTATGTTTGGAGCGCGGCGTTGTACGGGTGCGAAACATGGAGAGTGGGTGAGGCGGAAAAGAAAAGGTTAGAAGCCTTCGAGATGTGGTGTTACAGGCGGATGATGAGGATAAAGTGGGTAGAAAAGGTTAGAAATGAAGAGCTATTAGAAAGAATAGGAGAACAGAGGACTCTACGGAAGTCAATAAAAAATAGGCGAGATAGGTTGGTAGGACACCTTCTCAGGCATGAAGGTCGAGTCAGAGACATATTAGAGGCAGAAACAGGAGTTAGGAAGGGTAGAGGTAGACCTAGGTTAGATTACTGTTTGCAAATAGTTAAGGATGTGGGTTGTTCTAGTTTTAGGGAAATGCGAAGTTTAGCTCAGGATACGAAAGAGTGGAGGTGCGTGTCCAAGCAGTCTTAGGACTGACGACCTTATGATGATGATGATTTGGAGGTAGATTTGGGAAACTTTATTATTCCATGCTGCTTTATTATTCATGCTTCAAAACCGAAAAAATTGACACGTAGTCTACGAAACAAAAAAGATTCAAAACCCTTACTAAATCTTTAAAGTGTCTCAAAATTTCTTTTGATTAATTGGATACTTCCTAATAATAATAATTGTTTTCTTAGTATTTTTGTAAATGATAACTTACCCAGAAATGAGACAACACATTGACGTCAAAGGTACGTTGGATGAGATGATCGGGGGTTTCCAACAGTAATTTTCCTGATACAACTCCTGCGTTGTTAATCAGGATAGTAACCTGAAATAAAAAAATTAATAAATTAGCAATAACTATTATCGACCAGTTTTTGCATAATAAGAATGGTGGAATTTCCTATCAAAAGCCAAACTTAATATTAACAGTAAACATAGTGTTTGATACACACGTGTATGAATGTGTATACATACTTGTAGATTTATGGTTGTTAATGGAAAACGTTTTTTTGCTATACATAAACCATTAAATTATATGTAAAATCGTTTTATTTTATAGTTTTGGTTAAATATAAACAGGATGCTGTGGGTTTTTATTCTTATTTAATATTAAAAAAATTTTATTATAACACAAACGACAAGTATCGATAACGATAAGGTCCAATTTCCATTCCAAAATAAATGCTTGCATCGCTATGCTCTTTTTTATCAAGCAGGTAGCCTTAAATGCATAAAGAAAATGTGTAAAATACGTCTATAATTTTGAATTAATTGGTTAGTCGAACGTCTGTCCCATCCACGATACAATGGTTAAATATCTTATCAAATAAATTGTTAGATGCTGTCCACACGTAACACAAATTGAGGGAAGGGGAGTCCTATTACTTATGGGGAGGTGAGGACAAGACTGAAAATTAAAAAAATCTTTCTTTTTTGAATTCAAGTCCAAAACTTTACAATGGACGCGTTACGTAATGGAATGCGGGGAAGATGTCAGACTAAGTGTTATGAAGAAGTGCTGATGAGTCCGAAATTGCGATACAACGCCCTCTAGTTTCGATAGACATAGAGACAGAACCCTCAATTCGCAATTGCCCGTTTTTTTTACTGATACTTGCAAAGCTTTTTAAATGCGTCAATTACTTTAATTTACTTGGTGCAAAAGTTTCTAAAATAATAGGGGTAGAACTGCATTTTTTTTATACATTTCTGAACGTAACTCAAAAAGGATGTTATTAAAAAAAATTAAATTAAAAAGAGTTCCTTTATAGAAGAAGAAATAGGTGTTAAAAGTAGAGGTAGACCTAGATTTAATTACAGTTCGCAAAAAGTTAAGGATAGTTTGGGATGTTCTAGTTTTAGGGAAATGCGAAGATTAGCTCAGGTAGGAAGGAGTGGAGATGAGAGTCCAACCAGTATGATGATGATGGTGATAGGTACCATACCCTCTGCTTTAATAAACTGTGCTGTATTAAAAAGATTTAATACGTTTATAGATTTAGTAAAATAAGGTTTTTAAGAACTAATTTTTAATCGTATTCATCTCAATTCAAACTGCTTACTTAGTTATCATCTTCAGGATTTTTTTGGTAAAGGTCGATGGATTCATACAAATCAATTCCCTACATATCATTTACAAATCACTGCCAAACTATTCATTAGGGCAAAAAAGCTACCTCCGAAATATTAAACGTCAATTTTTTATTAATTTAATATTATTTGTGTTATTATAGATCATGTGCATATATGCGATTTCTAGGCATTACGTCGTTTTTAATAGCCCATAATTATAGCCTCTTCCTTTTGTAATCACATTGTAGTCCTTAAGAATAATAGTGCCGCTTGCTTATTTACAAATGCGACAATTAAAATCTTATTGTTTCTCCTAATAACATATCATAAATTTTACGGAAAACCTTGCGCAATAAAAAAATTAACGGTTTTTGCAGGTAATCATGACTGGAAAGTATCGAAATTAATAGTAAATACTCATATACAGTCAGACATCACAGACGTGTTATTTGAAAGAATTATNATAGGTACCATACCCTCTGCTTTAATAAACTGTGCTGTATTAAAAAGATTTAATACGTTTATAGATTTAGTAAAATAAGGTTTTTAAGAACTAATTTTTAGGTGTTTTAACGTTAATACAATTCTCAATTAATTTAGAATTTATAACAACATTTACCATAAAAATTGCTCTCTTGAACAATTCTAAAAAAATGTAGTTAGAGCTATACGCGACGAATCCTCTTTATTTACATAGTAGTAATAAGTTTAAAGTACATAAAAGAATTAATACAAACGTCATCATTTACCTTGTTGGCTGAGTTCAATTTTTAAGGCTTCGTCAAACCCTACAGCTGCAAATTTGGATGCGCAATAATCCACCAGCTTATTAATTCCTACAAATCCAGCCATTGAAGCAATGGTTACAATGTGACCGTGATCTTGTTCAACCATTTTTGGTAGAAAAGCTTTTGTAGTCTAAAACAAATAATTTTCATTGGATTTATGTTTTATAATGTTACTATTTTAATTAATCATAATAACGTCAAAAGCAGGACGAAAATTTTTCAATTTTATTAAATCTTTTTTTCTAAATAGTAAAGGATTTATTTTTTTATGGTTTCGGAAGCTTTTGACTATTATTTTTTATTTAAAATTATAAATATGTTAAATCTATAATAAGTTGTATATACACAGTAATATTTGTTTATCGTTTATTTCGTAGACATATGTTCAATATATAGGGTTCTTCAAACTGACTGGTACATTAGACGTTTTAGGGCAACTTTTTTAACTAAAATAATTTTACCTATCGATCGCTTTCAGTTATACCAAAATATTACATTGCTAAAGAAATTCTTTCAACTTGACATAAACCATTCGTTATAAAACTAAAGACCACAACATCGTTTGTTTATTTAAGACAAAGATCGTAAAATGCCACGGAAGAAGAATATTTTATTATCATTGCTTTAATTACTGTTAGGCGACCAGTTATCATCCATTTCGAGGAATCTGGGTTATTTTTATGTTCTTCTTCACTCTTGGATCAGTAAACAACAAAAGCGTAGACGTATTTGTTGCAACTTAACAAATTAAATAACAATTTACGACAGTATAATGGCTACGCTGTTATCGCAAACGACGTTGATAATTGCTAACGTTATCACTCATTGATCATTATTCAAGCTTAAGTATTTTCTCAAAAAATTAACAAAGAAAGCAGCGCATTCTCTTTTGTAAATTTGTATGTTGGTTTATTAATATTTATTAACAATGAAACTACTAGTAAATATTTAGAATACATGTATGTATGTGTTAAGTTTAGGAAATTGCTAATAAAAAGGTTATCTACCACTATGGCTTCAAAACTACTAGAAATAAAACGCAGGTTTGAATTAAATTAAATTGTAATCAATAAATGTTATATACAGGACTGTTTGCAACAATTCTATTAAATAAAACCAAAAAGACAAAAAACTTCTTATTAAAACTTCATCGTGATCAGTAGGAATCTCAGATTCCGTTGTAACAACAATCATGGCCGAAACAAAACCATGTGGATGACAATAACCTAAAACTATTAGATATAAACAAACTGTAACAAATAAGTTAACGTAATAAATGAAACAAGTGCCTACCCTGAATGCCAAATGATTTATCTGCATTTGACACCACCGGCACATTTTTGGGTATATTTGAACTACTCAACTTACGAGGAAGGTGATTTTGAATCATGGCGTCACGAAAACCTTTGCTGGTTGAAATTATTCATCTATTTTCATTTACATTCAAGTCAACAAGCATAAAACCGACCATCAATTAGATGATCTTCATCCAGAATATTTATCATTACTGTCATTGGGATAAAAAGTAAAAATATGGTTTTAAATACTCAGTATTGGTAACCTTGAGACATAAAGATTCAGGTATCAAACAGATTCACACATAAATATGCTCTTTGCACTATATTGGACCAGAAAACATGAATCGTTCCTTCTTTCATTTCATTCCCACGTCTTTGAATAGAATGGGAAATCTTCGACAACATTTTTTAGAATACA